ATGCCATTTCCTAGTTGACAGTCGCTGCACGCCTAAAACATGTCTACAGCCTGGTTCTTGGTTAAGGAGAGCCTTGACATTCACCATAGCAAGATTCTGCACATACACCAAGACCACATCCTCCCTAAGGCTGGTCTAGGAGGATGCATGAGCAGGTAGGTCACTGGTGGGAGAAGTCTGGTGAGGTAGGAAGACACAGGGACTAAGGGACTCATAGAAGCCCTTTGGTCTTGGTTTAGAAGTGTGAGTAGTGGCAGGTGGGCTTGTGGTATCTTGATTCTAATTCTGACCCTCCACTTACTATGTATCCTCAGGCAAGTCACTGCCCATTTCAGAGCCTTGCTTTCCCCATCTGTAAAGCGCAGGGGTTGGATCAGATGATCTTTTACATTTCTTATGATTTTAAGATTCCGTTCCATGACATAGGGCCTCCAGGGGACCTAAAAGTGAATGGAGATGGGTTGTGGTGTAGCAGAAACTGGGGACACGTGCCAGACCTGTGCGTGGATGACATACATAGCGTCTGGAGTGGGGGATGGGCCCTGACTTCACTACCTCTGCCCCAGACATTGGCGGTTTCTTTGAGCCTGGCACCTGGATGCGTTATAACCTCCAGTCGGCACTGCGCTCCGCAGCCCGCGAGTTCTCCCACATGCTGAGCCGGCCAGTGCCGGGCTACGAGCCTGGTTACATCCCCGGCTATGACACTCCTGGCTACGTGCCCGGCTACCATGGCCCTGGGTACCGTCTGCCTGATTACCCGCGGCCAGGCCGGCCGGTGCCAGGCTACCGCGGACCTGTCTACAACGTCACTGGAGAGGAGGTGTCCTTCAGCTTCAGCACCCAGTCTGCCCCCGCCGTCCTGCTCTATGTCAGCTCCTTTGTGCGTGACTACATGGCCGTGCTCATCAAGGAAGACGGTGAGTTCCCCGCGGCTCTCGCCCTCCACTCCAGCTTCCTCTGGGTGCCCCCCATTCTCGTAACTATTGACCAATACAAGGACTCAAGTGCTCTTCCAAGGTGGCGGCTTCGGTGGACTTCTCTGGTGCTTCCAAATGCAGGGGCCACAGGTTCCATCCCTGGTCAGGGAACTAAGATCCCATAGGCAGCATGGCAAAGCCAAAAAAAAAAAAATGGGGACTCTGGGAGCTGAGGGGAGACCCCCCTCTTCCTTCTCCCCACCCCACAGGGACCTTGCAGCTGCGCTACCAGCTGGGCACCAGCCCCTATGTGTACCAGCTCACCACCCGCCCTGTGACAGACGGCCAGCCCCACAGCGTCAACATCACCCGGGTCTACCGCAACCTCTTCATCCAGGTGTGTGCCGGGGGAGGCAGGCTGGTTCAGGTCATAACCTCACCATCAAGGTTGTGGCAGTGGGAAATGGCAGAGTTTAGCATCTGTCGAGCACATTCCAATGTACAGAGGATGTTCACGTGTTGTATCATGGGACCTCACAATCGCCCTGTGAGGCAGTTCAGGTAGGCTGCTCTTCTTACCTTCATTTTACTAGTCACAAAAGGGGCTCTGACAGTAAAGTGGTTTTCCCAAACCACCATAAGCTGCAAAGACGGGGCTCAAAACCAGTTTGTGAGGTTTTTAATACCAAATCCTATGTCTGGGCCCAGGACTTGGCCACATGGGACTGATCTCGGACCCACCACCAGTTGGAAGAAGAGAGTCCCAGCCTGGTCTGGGCTATGTCTGCTGCTGGTTATCCCTCTCGTCTCTTTTCCCCTCCCCACTCAGGTGGACTACTTCTCCTTGACGGAACAGAAGTTCTCACTGTTGGTGGACAGCCAGCTGGACTCGCCCAAGGCCTTGTATTTGGGGCGCGTTATGGGTAAGCTGGGGCTAAGACGGCATTTGGGGTCAGGAGCTGTGGACTCCTCTGGAGTCCAGAAGAGGGTGAAGGATGGGGAGTGGCAGTGAAGGTGCTGCTAAAGAGCACCTAAAGTGGGAACCTAGGGGTGGTGAGAGGGGCCAGGGCTGTTAGGGGGTCCAAGCCCCTTTCTTTCTGGGCTCCCTCTCCCTCAGAGACTGGAGTGATTGACCCAGAGATCCAGCGCTACAACACACCAGGTTTCTCAGGCTGCCTGTCTGGTGTCCGATTCAACAACGTGGCTCCTCTCAAGACCCACTTCCGAACGCCTCGACCCATGACTGCGGAGCTGGCCGAGGCCCTTCGTGTCCAGGGAGAGCTGTCTGAGTCTAACTGCGGAGCCATGCCACGTCTCGTCTCAGAGGTGCCCCCTGAGCTGGACCCCTGGTATCTTCCCCCAGGTATGTCCCCAGGGACACAGAAGAGGAAGGGAAAAGAGGGACAAGAGGGAAAGGAAATGATTCTTAATTTGCAGGAGGCTCCTCCTAACTGGTGCTTTCTCTTTTTTTCAGACTTCCCATACTACCATGATGACGGATGGGTTGCTATACTTTTGGGCTGTGAGTGGCACCGTCCCTACCCTGACCTCTCATTCTACCCTCTAGCTGTCAGCCTTCCCTCCCTGTCCCGTATCCTCAGGCCTGAGGGGTACTGAAGGCACTTAGTATATGGTGGTGCCAAGAACCATGAGACAGGCTATGCTGAAGGTAACTGATAATCAGCTTGGAGATTTTTAAATATTGGCAGATTCTATAGATTTTAATAGAAGTGAAATATTAAAACTGGGACAAAGTTTTTACAGTGATATGCCTATCACTGCCTGACTCAATATACCATTTCCACGTAGTGGTAGTCCATTGCTGGTCACGTCTCTGACTTTATGACTTTGTGGATCACATGATGTTCACTTCATGATGAGCAGCTTAAGTCATATGCTCCTCTGTTGGGTCATGGCCACATGTTCCCACCAAAATCAGGGGTTTAATATCTAAAAGGTCCCAGAATTAGGCAGGAACTGTGTCTTAAAGGGAGTTTTACTGCACTATAAAAGGATACATTTTATGGTATGTTAACTATATCGCAATAAAGCTGTTATAAAAAAAATAATTGGGGCTAAAGCTAAGGGATGAGGAAACAGGGGTAGAGTAAGATCCAGAAAGATGAGAAACTGGAGTAAGTACCAGGGATGTTGAAAGAGAATATTAGAAATAGGACAGAATTCTATTATTAGAAAGAGAAATTTATTAAACATTACATGTACCATATGAGAAACAGAAATTCTAATATTAGAAACAGAATAGAAGCCAGGACTTTAGACCAACCAGACACATCAAGAATAGCTTGATGTGGTTGTACAGCTGACACTGTCGGACACACATGCTTTAGGCCAAAAGGATACACATGTGTCTGTGTATAGGTGAAACCTCAAAGATCTGCCCTCAATTGTTCCTTTTTTCTCTTTCAGTTTTGGTGGCCTTCTTGCTGCTGGGACTGGTGGGAATGCTGGTGCTCTTCTATCTACAGAATCATCGCTACAAGGGCTCCTACCACACCAATGAGCCCAAGGCCACACACGATTACCACCCTGGCAGCAAACCTCCCCTGCCTACTTCAGGCCCAGCCCCAGCCCCAGCCTCAGCCCCAACCCCGACTCCGACACCAGCTCCCACCCAAATTCCAGCTCCAGCTCCAGCCCCAGCCCCAGCCCCAGCGCCTGGCCCCCGGGACCAAAACCTACCCCAGATTCTGGAGGAGTCCAGATCTGAATGAATCAGGAGAGGGGCTTCAAGGACCAAGCCCGTCTCCTCCGAATTCCCCAATCCTGCCTCCACTCCATCCTTGCAGGGACATGTGGCTCCTCTTAGCTGGCTCTGCTCATCTAGAGGATTTCCCTCCTGCCAAGTCTGGTGGGCAGAGCTACAGATGGGACCAAAGGGAGTGGCTGAGCCTCACTGCCTAAAACCAATGCCCTGCCCATCCCCATTTCCCCAGGCTCCTGGTTGTTCACCTGCCCCAAAGAAGCCTCATGGGGTTGGCCCAGGCCTTTCCCGCCACCCCTGTCCCAGCTGTGGCCAGGAATTAACACCAGAGTGCAGGGGAGATTAACCGCCTCCCTTCAAATATTCAATCTCAGCAGGGACAGATGTGTGGGATTGCAGGGGCGCCCAGGGCATGGGGGGAGGCTGCTCAATCATACCCCCCAGCCTCCCCCCTTCCCCTGCAGAACATCTTCCACCTGCTTCCCCTCAGTTGGGGGTTAGGGAGGGTTTCATTGCTGCCCCCCCCACCCCCCTTTTTTGTTTTTTTACAGAGACCGAGAGGCCTCAGTTTAGCACCTTAGTACCTCCGCTGCTTTAAACGCTTTAGCCAAAGCCATAAAAAAACTTGCAATGTAGAGAGAATAATGCAAACACACTGACTAGCCAGCCCTCTACTCTTCCTCCCTCCTCCAAGATATGCAATAGCCTTGGTGCCTGTCCAAAGGCTTGGCCCCCCCCTCCAATGCATGAGGAGCCCTCTTTCCTCCGCTCAGAGATGCTGCTTCATTTGTCCAGGAGGTCATCTTCTTTATATATATTTTTTGTTGCAAAGTCTCTCTCTAGAGAAACTATATATATCACTCTAATTTTTTTAAATTATCAGTTTATATATAAAAGACAAAATCAATGGACTGTCCTGTGCCCACCCAGTGTGCTTCTCCTGTGCTGGAAGTCTCACGAGGTCTGCTGGTCACTCACCCAAGCCTGATCCAGCCTCCACTCTGAAGCTGTGCTCTCAGACTCGGAGCTGTTCTAATAAAGCAGAGTGACAGAGCTCCAGTCTGTGTGTGGTAGTTGGCGGCGTGGCTAGTGGATAAGCGGGATGACTTTCAGGGAACTAATCTGACAGCTCCAGAATCTCTAATGGGGAGCACTCAGAATCCCGGCATCGCCTGCTAAAAGGCTGCTTGGTTCTTGCCAACCCCCTGCCCCAGATCTTCCCCAACCCTGGGTCTCCGTGGACAAGTGGAGATCAGAATGCTCAAGCTTCAGCCTGCGCTGCTCCTGAACCGCCACCCCTGGATCCTTCCAGGGTTCATCCCTGGACCCCAAAGCACACAGCACACAACTTGCCAAAATGGATTCTACCACTTTATTCAGATAAGAGGTCACAAGCCACAGGACTTTAAAGTGCGTGAAATTCACTGGCAACAGAGCCGCACATATACCAGCCTCCCCCGCCATTCCCACCACCTCACTCCATCCATCATTACTTGTCTGGGGGGAGGGGTTAAGACCTGTCATTAAAGGTGGGGGAGATCAGGGGAGAGGATGGGAATGCTGGAGCAACAGCAGTAGGCAGTGGTCTGACACAGGGGAAGGAGGGGGTCAACCACAGTGATTCTGCACGCTGAGGGAAGGGTGGGGTCAGTCTAGCCTTTCAAAGGCTGGATGTCAATTTTTCCCCATCTACTCCTCATAGCCAGCCCCCGGACTGCATTTCAGACAGTCCTAACCCTCCTTCCTCTGTCTCTGGTTTTTCCCTATAATTTATGAGTAATTCGGAGCCCACAGTCCAGCTAGAGGGTGTCCCCTATACACAATGCATACAAACCACAGCAGATGAAGATTTCAGAAGCCTGGCAGGGGCTGGCCCCATCAGGTGGGAAGAGGCTTCTGTCAGGAACTGGCTGGGTGTGTGCTCAGTGCTGAGTGCCTGTGTGCCCACTAGTGTGGTGAGTGAGGGTATGTGAGTGAGTGAGTGAGTGTGTGTGTGTGTATGCGTGTGCACGTGCATGTCCCACAGAAATCCCTAGGTAACAGTCTGGCCAGAGGGGACCCTACTCCTTGCTTCACTGGGACAACCAATGGGGTTAGAGGAAGGGGGTGGTCAGCACAGACCAGGGAAGAGAGGCTCTGACTCCACAGAGAAGGGAGAAGCCCGCTCCCTTATCTAACACCCTAGGCTTGTCTGTACCTGCCCACTTCTCTTTCCCTAGCACAAAGCGCCTTATTCCCTGCAGCTCAGCACCAGCCATTGACACAGGGGCGGTTCTTAGGGCTGGTGCCATTCTCATTCAATTCTGCTGTTTCACGGCAGCTTCTGCCTCCACCAGGACATGAGATAGAGCTGGAGGAGAATCTCCCATCACCTCCTCCCCGCTCCCTCAGCAAAGAGATTTGGGCAGGGACCCCCGAGACCTTAGCTCAAACTCTACCTCAATCTCTAGACCTTCTAGAGGAAATAAAGTGCTTCCATGAATCCCAGAGAGAATGTCACTATGAACTGGCACAGCTGGCCAACCTGTGTCTTCTCAACATTTAAATACCCTCTGCCAGTCTGCCTGCGTGGTGCCATCCCAAACACGTGCAACCTAGGAGCTCCTCGCCCACTTCCAAACACATAGTGTCAACTTATCCTTTCCTACAACAGGGACTCCAGGCAGGAAAGTGATCCACCAACCTTCCCCTTCGCTAGTCCAGGCCTGTACCCCACTACCCGGAAGACAGGAGCAAAAGCGGCCCCATAGGCCCAGCCTCTAAGGGAAAAGAAAGGCCTGAAAACAGCTACATCTGCAGGGAACAAGAGCATCAGACCCAGACTGCACCACCCCTCCAGTTCTTAAGCAGCAGTGTAATGCCCACCTGTCACTGCCAAATCAGAACTTTGAAAGGGGTTGACAGGGCACTGGCATCTGCTCCTGGGAATCTGAAAACATACCCATTCGTCTCCAGAGTACACACAGAGGGTGCCCCAAAGCCTGCTGGGCCCCAAGCTTAGCAGTTTATTATTGTCGTTGGGCTGGTTCTCACTGTCTGCAGAAAGATGGATGGCACTCAGCTTTATTTCTCCCAGCCTTGAAGAGCTTTTCTTAGAACCCACACTCTTTCAGTTTGAAGCATGTCAGGGGGAAAGAGGTAGTAGTCAGGTTCCCCATCTCCCCTCTGAATTCAGTCTGCTCTGCCTGCCAGGCTCATTTTTAACCCTGATCACTCACAAGCTCTGGGTACCAAACTTCACTGAACCTGTCCTCTCCTGGTCTCAGGACCACAGAGAGATCTGCTGGTGACCCAACTACAGGAAGGATCCTTGATTTGGAAAGTTAGGCTAATGCTTGTTAGGAACTGTCCAAGGTGACCCTTGAGGCCCACAGCCTGGGGAGCCGTTAAGAACTCAAGCAAACGTCACCTGTCCCCAGCCTGTGCTCTCTTCCTCCAAGGCCTGAGACGCAGTCTCCCACTGATGCAACTCTCTTTCCTGGGAGCCCAAGCCCTAGCCGCCTCTGTCTCCCCTCTCGCTGAGACAGTTCTGTCCCCACTGGACACAGGTGAGGCCTCACTACAGAGGGAGCGGATGGGGGGTTTCTCGGTGTAGGAGACACATAGTGCAGGAAACTCGAGCAGCAGTGGTGTGTGCATGAAAGCAGGACAGTGCCGCGACCATAGCACTGGCGAGGGGCCCACGAGGCCTAAAGGACATCCGTCTCCCGCTCGATCCCCACGTACTTGAGGGCATCAGCTTGGCTGTACCTGTCCCAGGGCAGGAGGAGGAACCAGGTCACTACCGAGGCCTGTGTGATTGAAAAGATGAAGTTCCCTCCCATTTCACTTCCCCTCCTTCTCCCTCCTACAAGGCTCCTGCTTCAGAGGTGAGGCACCAGACAGCACCACAGAGAAAAAGCCTTGGTCACCATGAGATGTCCTCCTTCATCCATATCACTCACCCTCAGCCCCCCAGATAAATTTCAACAGCTACCCTCTCTGCCCTTTGGGCCACTTCCCTAGGACTATTCCTGGCTGCCTTACCTGTAATCAAAGAAGAGCTCTTCGCCAGCTTGAATTGCCCTCTTGGCAAAGATTCCAATTCGATGATCCCCGTTCACCATGACCACTGAAATAGGATAAAACCAGGGCTAGATTCCAAGTCACTTCAAGTCAATGATCAGTAGTGAGTCTGGGCCAATTTTCTCCCAATTCCCAGTGAAAACACACATGAAGAGGAATCAGAAAGTCATCAATGAAGGTAGATGTCTCTATGCTTTTAGATCTGTTATTTTGGCTAGTGACACAGGGAAAAAATTATCTTCAAAAGCTTCACATTAGGAAAAATTGTTTATAATGTATTCAGTCAGAAAAGCAGATTAAAAAACCAAGACAGAAGGGCTCAAAATGATATTAGACATTAATCATGATTATCTTTGGACAAAGAAATAATTCAGTTACGAAAAAAAACTGAACTAATGGATAGAAATCATAGTAAATGAAGCACCCATCATCTATCCCACCTCCCACGTTACTGGGAACTCACCTTTGGCATAACAGTTGGGGTTCACTGAATGGTTTGCAAATCGAATTTTGTTTCCTTTCCGGGTAGCATCCACGACAAAATCTATAAAGTAAACCAGGGGGACCATGAGCTTACCTGGAAGCTCTACAGTTTCCTGAGCCTGAATCTGAAATCAACTAAACTGTAACAGAAACAATGCAGGGGAAACTCTGAGTCCCAGCACACCAATTGGAGCTAGAAACAGCCTCTCATGGAAGCACTCCCTGCGGGTTCCCTTCCTCTTGTGGGAATTACAGACCTCCCCTCCCACCTACTCAGAAGGTAGATTTCTGAGGTATAAGCACTCGGGGCTCTGATTAACAAACACAACCTGGAAATGGAGGTTCTCCCAGAGCAAGCAAACTGTGGCTCCTGGAGTCTCTGAGTTCAGTCTCAGCACTGTGCTCTAATCATCAGCTGGAAGACTCAGCGCTGGTCTGAACCTGAATGATGACCAGGGGAGTCTGGTAGGAAGACCTGCCTGAGATCACGTGGGGATGAAAGAGAGACTCCCTACCATTGTTGAGGTTGAAGAGGAAGCTGGACATGTACTTGTCATAGACCTTCCCTCGTCGATCGGCCTCATCCTGAGAGATGAGCTGTAGAGACAGACAAGGAACAGACAGTGGCTGCCTGCTCAGGGCATGGCACTCTGCCTCTAGAAAGGGCCAGGAGGGGGCTTATGGAGGACCACAAGAACAGTAGTCAGAGGGGGAGCTCAGCTAGTTTCATCCCAATCCCTGCACAGGCTAACCAGCACTGAGACAGACAAGAGCCCCCAGCCTGCCTGGCCCCCTTGTATAGCCTGAATTGCCAGAAAGTCGAAGAAAGAGTGGTTTGTTTCAGGATTGCAAACAGCTCTGTGGGATCCCCCGAGAGGCCACATGAGAACTTGGCTGAGTTATTTAGAGATCAATTCACAGAAGTCTGGCCCACAGAAAGTAAGGGTTTCTCATCAGTATCTCTCCATGTAAGAATGTGTGCCACACCGATAGCACTCACCTCACCGCAGTATTCAGAAATGAATTCATTCTTCTGCACTGACTCCTTAATGAAGGTGCCCCATCCGGCCACATCTGAGGGGGCCAGCAGCAGGTGCTGGGGAACAGGGAGTCAAACCTCAGATTACAGGGCGTGTGCGAGCCGGGGGCGGGGGGGAATGTGTGCTGGACATGCACGTGGGCTGCGGGCAGCAGGGTGGAAAGAACTAGCAACTATAAGAGGATCTGAAAACAGAAAAAGGACTCAGCCATTGTATTCTGGTGGGAGGTGATGAAAAGAGACCTGATACCTCTTCCTCTAGCCTGGGGAACCTCCTGTAGCTGACCCTGTGGAACTCACTGTGAATGTCCACAGAAAACAGACATGGTCAGTGACATGGCCTCTTCCCTGCTCCTCTCAGTCTGGCCAAGTCAGGGGATTACTTCTCTAATCCCTCGAGGGGACCAAAGGCTTGATGAACTCAGGAAACGCGTGTCTGTCGGGAATCACCAACACGGTGCGCACACCACCTCAGGGGCCCGCAGACAGAGGCTGCACGGATCCTCAGCCTGCCTGCGCCTGGCCTGGAGCCGGGAGCCGCACCTTCTTGAGGCCACGCTGGATGCTGCAGTTCTTGCAGGACACCACCTTGCAGTCCCAGTGCTCCGCGGCCCCGCAGGTGAGGCATAGGTCAGGGTCGCACTCCCGCACTGCCAGGTAGCACGGGCACTGCTTCGTGTTGCACTGGGTCTTGCAGCGGCAGCCAGGGAAGCGGTTCTGGCCTGCGCAGGGTGATAGGGAACGTCAGGGAGACGAGCAGGCTAACTCGGGGGTCTGCTTTGACTCAGGGGACAGCGGGGACGTCAGTGTTATGGGTTCAAGGATATCTGGCAAATAGCAGAGAAACTGCCTTCCCAATAATCACGTGTTGTTATTGTTTAGTGGCTCAGTCACGTCCAACTCTTTGTGACACCATGGACTGTGGCCTGCCAGGCTCCTCTGTCCATGGGATTTTCCAAGCAAGAATACTGGAGTGGGTTGCCATTTGCATCTCCAGGGGATCTTCCCAACCCAGGGAGCGAACCTGCATCTCCTGCACTGGCAGGTGAATTCTTTACCTGGGCAGTCCCAATAATCACAGACTCTAGTGTTTTTCAGAGAAAATGGAGCATCTCCCAGCATTCACATCTGAGTCAGAAAAGCAGGTTTGATTCTGAAGAAGTGTTTTCTAGAGAATTCCTAACAATGCTCTCCCCTTACCACCTCCACTTTGTTGGGAGAATTTGGCAGGGAGGTGAACAGTGCTCCAGAGAAGAAGAAATCAATGCTTTTCACTGGTAAATCCTCACCATCAAAACAAGAATCATTTTGAGAACATAATGCATCCGTTCTGTGCCATCGTCCTCCACCCACTGCCCTCCCAGCACAATCACCCACCCCTCTATTGTGGTTAAGATTGCTATCTGCTGTGTGTTACAAGGTATTTCCAGCACAACTGCCTGGGCACCCAGGTCTGCAAGCTCTGGGGGCTGCCACCCAACTGCTCAGCCTCAGTGGGGGTGGGCAGGCAAGGGTAAGAAGCAAGAGAAAAGCACTCTTGAGTCTCTGTCCCACCCTCTGCTGACATCCAGACCGACCTGAGGCTAAAGCTCCAGATAGGAGACTAAAACAGACACACACAGAGCTGTAACCTGTATACATTGTAAAACAACATCCTGGAAAGGGAGGCTGTATTTACACCTTAAGGAAAAAGATTCTAACATTTCTTAATGCTGCCCTAGAATGTGAAGCTGGAAAAGCAGCTTATTTCAGTGTAACTGTGGCTTTTAGAATCATAACCTCAGGACTTTTTAAAAAATGACTTGCCCTGATCTTAAAGATCTTGTTTCCTCTGTAGAATGCTTTAAGGGCCGCACAGAGGGTATTGGAAGGCCCATAAGCAGAGAAGGGTGCGAGGGGAGGGAAACCTGGGCTGCTGAGGTCGGCAACTGCAGCCAACAGAGCACTCTTACAGTCAGGGTTGCACTGGCAGAACTTCTCACAGAAATTCTGAGTCATGATGCAGGGGCAGGTGCTGTCACAGGGGCGGTCCGGGTGGTCGCAGGGCTGGTAGTTGTATACCTGGGTGGAGGAGTTATCTAAGAGAGAAAAGAACACACTACTGTGGCCACGCTCCTGAGCCACCCTCTCTCCCTAGGGTCCAGGTGCCCCATTCAGGAGGCTTGTTCTGCCCAACTTGGGCATGCATTTAGCACCTGACGTGAGAAGTAATCACAGGTGGTAGTGGTCCATAAGCTACAATGGAGTGATCTTCTCTGTAAGGAGAGTGTGGAAATGGTGTGATTACAGGGCAGTTATTTTAAACACTAAATGAGGGGACTTCCCTGCTGGTCCAGGGGTTAAGACTGTGCTTCCAAAAAAAAAAAAAGAAAAAAAAAAAAAAAAAAAAGACTGTGCTTCCATGGCAGGGGGCCTGAGTTGAATCCCTGGTTGAGGAACTAGGATCCCACATGCCCCTTGGCCAAAAAAACAAAACAAACCCACCCCAAAACACTAAATGAAGCCTAGAACCCTGTATATGGCACACGATGAAAGTCAGAGACCACAGGCCTGTGACTATATCTCCTGAGAGGTCTCAGCTGCAGTGAGGAGCTGAGCTGTTATCAGCTGTTGCAGGGGGGACCTGCAATGTGCGGAAGCCATGCAGGGTCAATAAGTGCAGCCATGGGTGGGGCGGGGGAGGGGCAGCCACAGGCTGCAACCTGAGCGCAGTGCCCCAGTGGAGCTCACCTTTCTTCAGCTGAATTTTCCGGCAGTGCGCAGCCCACAACCTGCAAGAGACAGTACAGCTCAGGGTCGTGGCCCTGGGGAACTCTGCAGATTTGGGTAAATGACAGCATGACCTCCTCTGGGGGACTGAGATCTGATCACTGGAATCCTCCAAAAATCCCTTTACAACAGGTCTGGACGCCAGTCCACAGAAGCTGGAGCCCACCTTACCTGCAGCTGGCCTCTGGCTCAAGATTTAAACAAGAACACCACATCCCACCCATAAACGAACATACATAAAAAAACCAAAAACAGATGCAAGACCAAACCAAACCTTCTACGTCTATTAAAATGCTACCGTTTCTCCATTTCTCCTCTCCCCTGCCCTCCCTCTCTTTGAGGAGGTGGAGATATGTGGGCATTTCATGATGGGGAGGTGGGAAGACTTTTCAGAAATCTGCTCTGAGTGAAGGAACTGAAAGGGAGATGCCACAGGGATTTCCTTCTATATCTGGAACCAGTGTCAGTTCTTTAGGGAACAAAGCCAGATGGAGTGCTGGATGCAAAAAAAAAAAAAAGGTTCCAACCCTAAGCAAAGTTTAGCTAGAAGACAGTGTTATTATGCAACTTAGAGAAACAAGTGCCAAAAACAGAACAAAAAACTCTGGTCAGAGTTGAGAAGTGAGCACAGTGGTAATAACAACCCAGTGAGAAGAAACAGCTTCAGGGTGGAGCCATGAGGCCAGTTCACATGCTGCTGGCCAGGGGCTTAAAAAGCAGTTATTTCATGGTCCACAGCACTGCAGGACAAGGGAAGGGCTGATTCAAGGCACAGACTCGCAGGGAGCATTGAGGAGGCTGTGCTCTGAGGAGGCCCTCCACTGGGTGACGCTGAACTGATGGCCAGGGGCTGCAGAGGGAGGCAGCAGCGAAGCCCTAGGGGCGGTCAGGGTACAGCAACAGCCTGGCCACAGAAAGCCTTCGGTCCAACCCTTGCCTGTGCTTTCTCTTCTTCTTCTGCGAGGGGTTCATAAGCTCATCTGTGGGCAGCTTCAGGATAAGTGACTCTTTGACTGCAAACTGGAAGACCTGGAAGAGAAATCCAACAGGACCTGTCACTTCTTGAGCTGAGAGGTCAGATAAGTGACCGAGGCAGGTGCTGGTTTCTGGAGAGCTTGTGGGCAGATGACTGAGCATCTTTAGCAGGGAGAGACAGAGCGGCGCTGGGACACCGGGTTGCTGGTTCTGAAGTCCTTTGTTTTTGGTTGTGTTTTTGGTTTTGTTTTGTTTTTGGCCATGCCGTGTGGTGTGCAGGACCTTACTTCCCTGATGAGGGATTGAACCCATGCCCCCGGCATTGGGAGCAAGAAGTCTTAACCATTGGATCACCAGGGAAGTCCCTGAAGTTAATTCTTAAGTGTTTATCCTGACTGAGCACAGGTACAGTTTTCCTGGTCCGTTGTTTTCATCTACTGCTCTGCCTTCCAAGCCCAGAGGGAGTCAATTCTAACCAACAGTATCTGCCTCTTATTAGGAAGGGCAGTGTTGTGTACCTTGCGTAACTGAGTCTGAAGTGACCTGAGGTACCACCCAGCTAAGCACTAGCTCCCTCTGTTGGCATAAAGATGTTATTAGAGCCTTGATTATTTTAGTAGGACAGCATTTCAGGAAGGCCTGGTCCCTTTTAACATGCTGTTTCCCTTAGAACATTTGTTTTTTAGTTTTTTCTTCTCTGTTACAGGCCCTCTCGCAATTCCATGAAAACTGTGAATCTTCTTTTCAGGAAAATAAGGCACAAAAATTGCTTTGTACACAGTTTTCAGGCTCTTAGGTAAAAAACCTGTGCCTTGGGGAGATAGGTATGAGATCCAAAAAGAAAGGAATGAGGGACACAGTTTTTCAAGGCATGAGCCCACTGTGTCTCCTTCTGACTGGCAAAGCAATAAAGCTATTCATTTCTACTTCCTTCAAAAAGGCCTCTTGTGCCTTCTGAGATGGCTCACACTCCATCTATGGAGTGTGTTTCCCCCCTGAGTAAACCTTCTTTCACTTTAAAAGAAAAGAAAGCAAAGGGCACTTCAGCTCATGGTTCTACTACTTGTTCCAAGTAGAGAGTACATGAAGAAAAGATTGCAGAGACTCTTCCGGAAAGTGGGGAGCTAAGTGAGGAGGGCTCAAGCTCTGGTGTTCCTGTTTGGACCAGCTGGCCCCAATACCTGACTCTCTATCCCTGCGCTTCTGTCTGTCTGCTCCCTATAGGCTTCTCCTGCCTCCAGATCAGAAGCTACTATCAGATCATGATTCTAATGATGATGTGAGTGAGATGCACAAGGTCCAGACCCAGTCATTAGGGGTGGTAATTAGGAAATCTAATGATAGAACATTTGAAGAAAAAAGCAACTGAGAAGACTGATTAGGGGGATGGTGGCAGCTACAGAAGCAGGAGCAGAGATGTGAGATAAGAAGATCCCCAGAAGGACCCAGGAGTGCCTTTCAGGAAATGGGTCCACATTTAGAAAGAAACGGAGAAGGAAATGGCAACCCACTCCAGTATTCTTGCCTGGAGAATCCCATGGACAGAGAAGCCTGGTGGGCTGCTGTCTATAGGGTTGCACAGAGTTGGACACGACTGAAGCGACTTAGCACGCATCCATGCATTAGAAAGAAAGGCAAGAACACCAAAAAAAGGAAAAACCTGAGAGAGGGTAGAAACATCCAGAAGAGTTAGATAGTGGCTACAGACAGGAATAAGAATTCAGAAAAAAAAAAAGAAGTAAGAATTCAGCAAGGAGAGCAGATCCTAAGTATCACTGGCACACTGGCATTTGCAGAAAGCCCCCCATGTATGGGGAATCCCCCTCATGGTCCAGAAGCACAGGCTCATGAAGGACTGAACCTAAGACAGCTTCTGTCCAGACAGGCAGCCTTACAAAAGGACCAAAGGGCTCCCAGGGCGAGGACTGATTCCCGTCCCCTTCAGACAGTACCTGCTTGCATGTCTTAGTCCCCAGAAGTCTGGCTATTGAACAGAAGTTGTTGAAGTAGGTGCCATGAAAGACTCGAAAAAGAGATTCTTCAGCCCCAGTCCACTCCACAGGCTCTGAGGGTGCTTCCACTACACAGAGCTGAGGTGGGGCCGGACTTGCCTTCTGTTTCGTGGGCGTCTGACAGCGAGAGTTCGCCTCTAAGAGAGGAAGGAATGAGAGAAACACAAGAAGGTGGAATGCAGCTGGCCTCAGTGGTTTGCCACAAACTCAGCTCTTCAATCTACACCAAAAGGCAGAAGAGTTAGGAACAAAAACATTCCCTGTCTCTACTGCTTACAGGTGAACCTAGGGAAAGAATGAACAATTTAAAAAGGTAATAACGTTAACTGTTATGACATGATCCTGGGTTTACCTTGCGTAGCAAGAAGAGGTCATTTTCTGCTCACTGTACCTGAAGAACTGGAGGCCCAGTCATTGCCAGTGTCCCTGTCACTGTCCCCTTCTTTGGTCTCAGCCACAGCAGAGGCTGAAGTGTTGGAGCAGGAAGCATTGACCACATGGTGCCTTCGCCGGCGACGCCCGGAGCACTTGGAGCGAGGGTTGTGCAGCATGGCGTACTCCTTTGCTCCTTCCTGCAGAGGCCATGTTACAGTTAGGAAGCAGAAATAGGCCACCATATTGGTCCCATCATCACAAACCATCTTCAATATCTGTGCTGACTTGCAACTTGACACTTTTTTTCCCCCCTCTGTACCATATATGACCATGTGATATCTTAACAAACATCTTAAAGCTTACACACTTCTATGTCTTGACAAAGAGCTGTCTTATAATATAATCTTTAAAAAGATACAATCTTTATATATTATGCATAGATGCTTCTATGCATCTTTGACTGTCCGGTGAGTCATATCTTATACTCATTTGCTCACAAACTGATTAGAATTTGAGAATACATTCTCCTGTAGATGAGAAAATGAGGTTCAGAAAATGAGGGATCTGCTGAGAGCATGCAGCTAATTATTCCAGAGCAGGTACAAGAATCAGGGCCCTTCATCCCTAGGCCTCACTGTTTTTTATGTTTTACCACACTTGTCTCTGTTTCAGTAAGAAAATGTATAATCCCTGAATTTGTATAATATTACCAGTTAATTTAGGAAATTCCCTCCAAGTCAGTATTTTAAACTAGGATGAATATTTTATTACTTTATTACTTTACAGCTATGCTTTTTTCTATAGACCAGATAATTACTTAGCTGGATCATCTATCTCCTCGCCAGACTTAGTTTCTAAAGATTTTGAGCTGTTTCTGGAAACTAATTCTACAAGTAAAGGATAAAGGTTTACCATTATTAAGGATATTCAGAATATACTGTAGGCCCTCAAAGAAATTCCAAGAAAGAAGTTTTTATTTTAACTGAATCTGATACTACGTGTCTTTGCTACAATGTGACATATACAGGATTTCAGGATGACTAGAGCAGGGGCTACTCTCCAGTTGTGGTGCACAGGCTTCTCATCACAGAGGCTTCTCATGCTGCAGATGACAAGATCAACGGCACGAGGGCTTAGGCAGCTGCAGCATGTGGGCTCAGTAGTTCTGGCTCCCAGGCTCTAGAGCAAGGCTCAAGAGTAGCAGGGCATGGGCTGAGTTGCTCCTTGGCATGTGGGATCTTCCTGGATCAGAGATTGAATCTGTGTCTCCTGCACTGGCAGGCAGATTCTTTACCACCGAACCACCAGGGAAGCCCCGGCAATGCCCTTTTGAGTTATATAAAAAGCATGAACTGTAGAGTTAGACCAGAGCTTCAATTTCATCACTGCCACACCACTGACATAGTAACAAACTTTAGGCAAAATATGTAACTTTTATAACCTATACTTTATCCACCTCAGGATGTTGTTATAAGCATGAAAATAAGATCATATATGTTAAGGGTTAGCACAGTGCTTTGATACATAGGAAAGAATTAGTATATATTATGGAAAAAATAAATCAGATAAAGTCTATTTATTTTTGTTTGCTTAAATGGAATTTTCTGGGCATACAGTTCTATGCGTTTTAAATATTTCTATTTATTTGTTTCGGCTGGCCACATCTTAGTTGCAGCGTATGAACTCTTAGTTGCAGTATATGTGATCTAGTTCCCTGACCAGGGATCAAATCTGGGTCCCCTGCATTGGAAACTCAGAGTCTTAACCACAGGACCACCAGGAAAGCCCTATTTATTTTTTTGCTATTACCATGTGGCACATTTTCCAGATTTTTACCCAGTGGCACTCTGTATCATATTTCCTTCTATTATCCCCCTAAAGATAGTCCCAGAAGCACCTGGCTGTATAATCTCATTTTAATTGGTAGCAGAAATTGTATCAAGGTATTTTATTCTTTACCTAAGCTCACCCTATCGTGTGAAAGTGAAGGTTGCTCAGTTGTGTTTGACTCTTTGGGATCCCATGGACTATACAGTTCATGGAATTCTCTAGCCAGAATACTGCAGTGGGTAGCTGTTCCCTTCTCCAGGGGATCTTCCCAACTCAGGGATTGAACCTAGATCTCTCACATTGCAGGGGGATTCTTTGCCAGCTGAGCCACCACGGAAGCCAAGAATACTGGAGTGGGTAGGTAGCCTATCCCTTTTTCAGCGGATCTACCCAAACCAGGAATCAACCCGGGGTCTTCTGCATTACAAGTGGATTCTTTAGCAGCTGAGCTACCAGGGAAGCCCCACCCTATTGTGTAGAAAGCAGAACTATGTCTTTGACAAGTCCAACTGAACCTATTCCCTTCTAGCTCTCGGGGGACTGCCTCCCCACATAAATGCAGGAGAATTCATGCTGCTACATGAGGTCTGTCTGCCAGGAAGGGTCCATCTGGCTGATTAACTCACATAAGATATGAGCACCTTCATGTGTTGTTCCTCCTACATTTATATGCAGTTAAAGGGAGACAGCAAAGATAGTGTCTCATGCACACACATACAGCTCCAAGTAAAACAAAGCAGTTTCAGACTCTGAAATCTGAGTAGATGATGTTTAGAGAAAGAAAGCCTTCAATGTTCTTCACACCTCATTCCATGAAACTAACTTCACAGTGCTACTGCTGCAAAATCAAGGGCGCTCCTTACGAGCAGAAGTCATGTCTCATCTACACTCTGTGATCCTCAGGGTGCTATATACCAACTCACGTGGTTTGTGTTCTCTGGGGCAGAAAGCTCAAGGACTATTTCCTGCTCAGATTTCTATCAATTTCAACGACGGCAGAAGAATTTAAAAACGTACCAGCAGAAGGAAGCAGTCTGTGCCACACGGTTCTGGCTCAATCTTGATTTCTTTGTTCTTGCGTTTATACACATTAGGGGTGGCATGGAAAGCTGGAAAACACAAAACTGTCCTGTTTGCAATGGCTCATCTGCTTGACAGGAGGAGGAGGAACAAATTGAATTAGGGGGCCACTGGAGGAGAATTTAGATAAAAACAGCTATCATCAAGGTGAATCAAGCTGAATCATTTCTGACATCAACACAATTCTTCCAAAGCTAGAGGAAACTCGGGGACAACTGTGTTGCTGGTTAATCTGTCCTCCCTGTGTGAAGCACACCACACTATAACTACACAAGAGAAAAGAGAACTGGCCCTTTGTAAAACCATCATCGGATCAGAAGCCAGGAATTCCATTGGAGAAACTAAAAATAAAGAGAATGAAATAGTGGCTGGGGATGGAAAACAGGAGAGCATTTCAGAGCAGCCCACTCACGGTGAAGGAAGCAGTCATATTTGAAGCAGCGCCGGCAGAACAGTGTGTGGAAGGAGTGCAGAGACTGCTCCCGCTGCACAGACTTGGCGTTGGGGCCGTCGATGTTGGGTGTGCACTGTGGGGGGAGCGCATTGGGGTCTGACATCTCTGTGAGCTCTCGGTACCTGGTTCGGAAAAGAGAGGTAAGAATGCCTTCCGAGGGAATGTCTCCACTGAGAAAACTCAGACTGACATGGGGAACTCTACTCAGCACTCTATAACAGCCTACACGGGAACAGAATCTAAACAAAAACAAAAAAGATTGAATATATGTATATGTGGGCTTCCCTGGTGGCTCAGTGATAAAAGAACCGGACTGCCAATGCAGGAGTCACGGGTTTCATGGGTTTGATGCCTGGGTTGGGAAGATCCTCTGGAGAATGAAATGGCACCCCACTCCAGTATTCCTGCCTGGGGAATTCCATGGACAGAGGAGCCTGGTGGGCAACAGTCCATGGGGGTCACACAGAGTCGGACACAACATAGTGACTAAACAACAGATGTATACGTATAACTGATCCACTTTGCTAAAACTAACACATTGTAAATCAAATATACTCCAATAAAAATTTTTTAATTAAAAAAAAAAAAGAAAATGCAGACTGAATACTGACAGTTATCTAGAAATGGTCTGCCAAGGGAGAAAAGGGATGATGGGTGTTATTTTTAATAGGTCTTTATGTATAACCAGGTAGGTTCACCATTGTAATGATGCTGGGCTCAGTGTGTGTATGAGAATTAAGGGAAAGGAAAGATTTTCTAAGTATGGTGCTAGAGTAACACTCCAGTAAAGTGGCAAAATCTTCAAACTTCTCTGCCCAGATTTACGCAAAAGCCAGCAAACCATGACCTTTAACATGGGAATGGGCATTTAGAGAAATGTAGGCAAATCATAATGCACTTACCAAAAATGAGAATTTTTATAACCCAAAACAAGCATGTATGCAAGTTTTGCCTAAGTGGTCTACATGGCCTGCGGTGGGGGCAGCCGTCCTACCTCTCCTTCATGTCGTCTGGGACACCGTTCTCAGGGAACATCGAGGCGATCGCACTGAAGATCATGTCATTTGGGAATTGTTTCTTGGAACTCTTTTTGCTGCCTAGATTGGAAATGATAAAAAGCTTCTGAGTGCCATACAGAAGCACACAAAGCTAGTTAATCATCTTGTACTTTTGTCATGGCATTTTGATTAGAGCTGCTTTTTAATGCAACCATTGACTATGTCAGAATACAGAAAGAAGGTCAGCGATACCTGGACCTATCTAACTGCCAACTAGTAGATAAGGAGATCAGAGTCATCTACATGTTAACAACAAAATCCACAGTCCAGGGGGATTTCCTGCTGGCCCAGTGGTTAAGACTCTGAGCTTTCACTGCCAAGGGCGTGGATTTAATCCCTGACTGGGGAGCTAAGATCCCACAAGCCTCATGGTGTGGCAAAAAAAAAAAAAAAAAAAAATCTACAGTATAAGACAGAATCTGGAAGTGAAAATAGAAGTTTTTATGGAGAAACCCGAGCATAGAAGTACCTACCATAACGTTGATGCCAAAGAAAAAGATGGATACTGTAAATTTGTTATACGAAGAGAAGACACTTTGTGTCTGGACATATGGTATAACTAAATAACAAAGTATAATTAAATATGAAATTAATTAAATATTGTCTAACATAGGAAAACGCTCAAGATGTAAGATTAAATAATAAGGGGTATAAAATTATCTATGTGTATACACACATATGTGGTAGGATACTAACTTCACCTACCATATATATATGTTGATTTACTTTGGTACTTTTTAAAAACTGAGATAAAATACATATAATACATTTCAGGTGTACATGTATATATTTTTATATATACATTTTTTAAGTCTAGAAGGAAATATTAATACTAAAAGAAACTACTTCTAGGTAGCAAGATAATAGGGTAATTTTATTTTATTCTTTATAACTTGTCATATTTTTCAAACACACTATTTTTTACAATTAGAAATGAACAATGATTATTGTCTAAAGTTCTCCTACTTTTTTCTTCAGCTAAATCACAAATATCTTAAACCATCAGTCAGTAAACACATTCTCCTTTTAAGTGGACCAGTGAGAAGTGCCAACAGCCTTTAATAAGGAACAACCCTCTCTTTTGCCTTCTTCCCTTTCCCTGTCACTCCAGGTGGAATAAGGAAGTCGCGCTCTGCACCTTCAATAGCGTGTCGTTTTCTCTTTCTTGTTACTGGCAGATCCTCTTTGCTGTCATCTTGCTTTCCATCTGAGGTGTCGTTGTGTCCTTCTTCATCTTCATCCGAGTATTGATTCAGAGCATCTACCAACTCCAGGAAAACAGCATCACTGATCAGGACAGAGCCAGGAATCATCTCTGAAATAAAAGAATTAGATGGATGAGCAGTGGTCATTTCATACTCCATTAGTCCTCCTCGGAAGGTTTTCCTATATTCACTCCTGAGACTCGATAATATATGTACATTTTTATGTGGAAAACCAGGGAATTACAATAATTTGATTGGCTCTTAAAATTGCAACTGTTAAGCTGGCTAGAGTGGGAAATCCAGTTATGGACTTTATTTTTACCGGGGTCTTCACTTACTCAGTAATAGATCAACCTGTATTTATGGTCCAAAATATCACAAAAGTGGGCCAACAATACAAATAGGACAGAGGAAGAATGATGAAATGAAAATGTACTTGGTTTTGCTACTGATGGGTTAGTAGTAACTTCTTTTTTTTTTAGTAGTAACTTGACTCAACAGACAACATACTTAAAAAAAATCATCATATGAGGTTATACTATTAATACAATTTAGGATAAAGTCTCAGAACACTAGAGGGCACTGTGTATAAACAATGCATTTCAAAGGCATCACAACAGCATCCACAATCATCAAAAGAGCAGGTTGAGGCCACTGGTTTGCAAATCTATGAAGAGTTTTTCCCTATCTTTCCCCTTCTTACACACTAACAACTTTTTCTAAACCTACAACTAAATACAAATGACTTGCTTTTTTAAATCAGACACAAATTCCTTTGCCCTTCTCCTCTGAAGTAAAAGGTCTTTGCTTTAGTCGCCCGGGTCTTCCCTAAGTCACAAAAAGGTTGGCTCAGAGGTAATGATTAAGAAATGTGAAGACATAGAAACAAAGAATAGCTGCTGGGCCACGAAACTGGTAACAATTTAGACTATAAATCTGCAACACAGCAGAATCACTGTCCTCCCAGTTCCCCAAAAGAAAGACAAACGCCTGACACACATTCCTAAGTTGTTTTATAAGAAGTAGATGTCCCACCAGACGAAAACTGCTGACCGCAAGCATGAAGACCCTAGACTGGTTGAAACCAGAAGGTGGATGAGGCTTGAAACTTCACCCAGATGCCAGCCAATCCAAGAACTGGGCACAACTGATCATACACCCTGCAGTTCTCTCCCTCACACTGCCTTTAAAATTCTTTCCCTGAAAGCCATTGGGTAGCTCTGGTCCTTTGAGCTTGAGCTGCCCCTTCGCCTTGCTTGGCGCCCTACAATAAAGATCGTACTTTCCTTCACTTCAACCTGGTGTCAGTAAATTGGCTTTACTACACTCAAGTGAGCAGACCCAAGTTTGGTTTGGTAACACTTTTAGGAAAGTCAGAACATTATTGCCAACTTCTAGCAGATCCAGGGAGTATTTGGATCTAAGAAGAGAGGTTATGCTCATTGCCAGTCTCACAGAAAGGGAAACAAAGAACAAGATAGCCTTGGATGGATTTATGGTAGACTTCTAAGATCAAACTTATTTATTCACTAAATTTTCTTTCCAGCCACTGGAGAGAAAATCATATTACTATATAACCATTATATTACTATACAATCCTTTTATGTCTCAACTCTTTTTTTTTTTGGCTATGCTGCATGGCTTGTGGGATCTTAGTTTCCTAACCAGGGACAGAACCCTGGGTCTCTGGAGATGACAGTGTGGACTCCTAACCACGGGACCACCAGGGAATTCCTCCAAATCCTCTTAAAATTTAACTGGGGTATTTGTAATATAAAATGTTTACTCCCAGCCATGTGGTGACATGGAAATAGTCTTCAGTGTATACACCACAAGGCAGCAGATAAAAGCAAGCTAATGATACATGAAACAAGAGGCACCATCCTAATAAAGTCCTCTCCTTAGGAGACCAGCGCCACTACCTTCTTCACCGTGGACTTTGCCATCATAGTTATTGATCAGCTCCTCAATGAAAGTCTCATCTTCCTCTTTCACCTCATCTCCCATGTAGGGGATATTGCACAAAACTGTCTCATCTTCCACCTGAAATCAAAACAAATGAAATTCATTTCATGAATCTGCTGTGCATCTCCTCTGTCCTGTTTTTTTTTATCCTCTTTCCTGTATAATGGAACCTATATTGAACCATTTTTGCTGCTTTAAAGCTCCTAAAATGCCTCTGGTTACAAAGTTCACTACATTTTAAAGGCTGGTCATTTTGGCAACAAAGCCTCAAATGGAAGGGAGTCATGCTACTCTTGGAAGAAAAAAAGTCAGTTTTACTACCTGAGGATATTAACTACCAAATGTTAAGCTGGATGTTAACAATATTTCCACCAACACCTAAAATCTGACAACATATTTCTTTCTCATAGTGAGTCCATCTATTATGTCATTTAATCCACTGAACATTGTGAAATTGGTACAGATATGACATAAACAATGGTCTAAAAGGTCTTCAATTCAAATCCTTCTCATCAGTAGAAAGACATGAAAAGGAAGACTTTCAAGAGTATAAACTGCAACATAATTGCAGTAGTTAAAAGAGAAACTGGCAACCCCATAAAATATTTGTAGAGTCTACTATATAGACTAAGACTGACCTCCCATAAACATAATAAAAATTCTTATTACAACTGATATCACTCACCCTCAGTGGGAACCTAAAGTCAACTGCAGAACAAGCTATGTATATCTTCTGGCAATAAACAATATGAATGGATTTTGTTTTGTGGTTCAGCAGAAAACAGTCATTTTCAGTTCTATAGCTATCAAGTAGAGTTACTCTGAAGTTTTCTTCTAAGAGATGAAGAAGAAACCTATAAACCTGTAAACCTATATCCTATTCCAGTCAGCAGAACTGCTATCTGTCACCAGACACAATAAGCGATGGCAGTATTTAGCGGCCTGATTATCAGAACCACAAATAATCCTGGCAGGAGTCAGCATAAAGTCCCAGATGAAAGGACTGGTGATCCCCGTGTGCCTCTGCTATCTCAGTTGCTTTCACAGCATCTTGCCTTTAGGGGATTAAGAAAGGATTGCTCCATCAGCAGGGAGCTGTCAACCTGCTAAAGCCTGAAGTGTCTGATTTAGAATACATTTAACTGCATTCAATGTTATAAAATTGGACCAAGGTAGTAAAGGAAGGCTGGACTCTTGCCCAGTCTCTTTCATTCAAAAAAGAAACAGCATCAATTTTGAGAATGCAAAAGCCAACAAGTTAGAACAACTTGCAATATGTGTTTTTTCAAGGTTAGTAAATCACAAAAACATTCTGCCCTGCATGTCCAAGCTTTGTTAAGTATATTCTGACAATCTTTACCCTGAGAGGAGTGCCAGCATTTCAATGTTAAAAAAAAAAAAAAAAAATCATTCCATTTAAACAATCATCATAGTACTTTCAATACATACCATGAAGTTCTGCTGGAGAGGGGACCACGAGTACATGATGGGAACCAAGGCAACTGTGTTCAGAGACCTCATTAACATGTGCTGGCTTGCAAATCCTGGGAAAATGCTCTCTATGGTACACTGAAATACAAGCAATGACATGGAGAGGGAAGGCAGGTCCACAACCCAAGAGAGAATCGGAGTTTCCTTCCAAAATTACCCCTGTAGCCTCTAATTCTTACAAGTGGATAAGTTGAGGGTTTTGTAACATCAAGCTCCTAAAAGGAATCCCTCAGTTGTAAACCTGTGGGAAGCAGGAACTGTCTCTTGTCTCTAATTGCCCTTGGCCTCCCATATTCAATCGTTGTTAATCTCCATCTAAAAGTGTTGATCTCCTTGGGCCGTACCTGACAGCAAAGGGCCTCTGAGTGTCCTTGGAGATGAGAAGGAAGACAAGGAAGTTTTCCTGAAGACCTAAACTTTAGACAGTGGACTTCAACTTAGCTGCTGAGCTGACGGGGACAGTACAGGGGGAAGCAAAGTAGTGTAGAGATTATAGACACCTTCTGCTTTGGGAAAGAAAAGTGCTCTTCATAAATTATCTATTTTTTATATTTTAGAGACATCATCTCTATAAGAAACTAATAGAGTGATTTTTTTTTTTAGTTTACAAAAAAGATGTCCCATTGACCATATTGGTCAATTACCCACAGCATTCCTTTCCCAACTTCAAAACAGCTGAGGTACCAAAAAAGCCACAAAAGAGGTTGCTTTGAAGCTTGTATACAGAGCCCAGGAAAGTAGACAGCAGATGTCTTATTTTTCTAGGTAAAACTCATGATTAAACTCATTAGCTGAGAAGAACAAAAGGCAAAAAGGTTATTCTTTTTTTCAATAATGCAATTTGGTAATGAGTTTGATGTCCTTTTGATGTATTTATTTATTTATTCTCAGGCTGCAGCCCGGGATATGCAGGATCTTAGTTCCCTGAGCAGGGACTAAACTTGTGCCCCCTGCATTGGAAGTGTGGAGTTTTAATGGCTGGACCACCAGGAAGTTCCACAGTTAATCTTTAAGTTACAGGTTCACCATCCCAGTTATTCAAAGATGACTACAGTAATTGCATCCATTGTCTTTATTTTCTAATAATAATAAGTGTGACCCCATGGACTGCAGGCCACCAGGCTCCCCTGTCCATGGGCTTTCTCAGGAAAGAATACTGTAGTGGGCTGCTATTCCTGCCTCCAGGGGATCTTCCCAACCTAGGGATTGAACCCAGTTCTCCTGCACTGCAGGTGGGCTCTTTACCATCTGAGCCACCAGGGAAGCCCAGTAAGCCACAAATACAGAAAAGAAAAAAAAAAAGAATCCTTAAATCTAAGGAAAAGAGAAAGGCCAAGCTTAGACACTGGAAGTACCTTTTTGAGAAAAGGATGCCCACTCACAGGCTTCATTAACTGGACAGGTTGGACACGAAGTTTCTTCCATTCTTCATTGAGGATCTGGGTTTTTTCTTGAACTTTTGCAAAATTTGCTACATAGAGAGCCTAGCAGAGTCAAAGAAAAACTTGTTAGGATTTTAAGAGAAGAGTTAAAAGATTAAAAATAAAAAGTCCAACCACTCCATATTGAATCAGTTTATAGCCTTTCACTTGGGAAGTATTTTTACCTTTGCACCCATATTCGCCTGAAGCCGTTTAAGCTGCCGAAGTCGCATGTATTCAGACTTAACTTTCCGCTTCCAGTAAGTGATACATTTGGAAGTTGGGGGATTTGGTATATCCATTTTGCTGTAACTAAGAGAGACAGAGATGACAAATGGCATTTTACTTCCTGGAAATGACGCATTCCTCAAATTCAAATAAACATGGTCAGTTACGCTTTCATTCCCATTACATTTATTCACAAAAACAAGCTTAAAGAACTCAAATCTATGAGTTCAACAGAAAGTTCCAATTAAGAAAAGATTTCATACCAGCAATGCCTGGTCTGATTACCTAAAAGCTTAGCCACTGTCCTCTGTGGTAGCATGCTTTTAATTTAGCACTTTCACAGATATTTAGAAACCTGGATTACTTGCAAATTTGGAAGCCTGTTTACTACTTTGATTAAGAGAAATGTTCAGCAGGAACCAAGTTAATATCACAGAGCTTCATGGAAAGATTCACCCACACAATAAAACTATACCTGCCAAATTACCTAAATCTACCAGATGTTTAACAATTAAGGTCAAATATGACAACAACATAATCTCATCTCCAAGTCACCAGCATGACACATGGAAATACATAACACTGCCTATCACTGGGTTTTTTTTTGAGGCATTTGAATTAAAACTCAGTTTTAAAGAAGTACTTATTGGACCATGCTCTACCTACCTCATAGAATGCAAGGCGAAGGGTAGGGTTTTACAAGTGGCTTCTGTCCTTCAGAGGAATGGCAAGACACAAAGGCCAAATAAATGTTGAGCTGTTCAAAAGAGAACAGACAGTCGTTTCAAGTCAGTGGAGCATAGTCAGATCCTCAGAAGGATGTTCCCCCCAAAACTATGAAGACTTTGAAGTCTCTGCTACCACAGTATTTGCATGTAAATCAGATCCTAGTAATACTTGATGCCATTTGAGAAGGGAGCTTTATTTTATTAAATTCTATCTTTCCAGGCATACATACAAATATGTTCTCACAATTACCAAGTGCATTTTTCTGCTTTTCTGCACCAATTTCTAGGCTCAGCCACCAGGGCCATCAATTACTTTAGAGAAAGAACAAATACTAAATATTTGTAAAAATTCAATAAAATCTACAAGATTTTTATTCTGTATCAGCTACTTAGGTTTCCTGAAGAACTAATTCTGTTATTTCGCCTAACATACTAAATTTCTAAAAACATTACAAGGAGCTATAAATGAAAGTTGCTGAGTCGTGTCCAACTCTTTGCGACCCCATGACTACACAGTCCATGGAATCCTCCAGGCCAGAATACTAGAATCCTGGAGTGGGTAGTTGTTCCCTTCTCCAGGGGATCTTCCCAATCCAGGGATTGAACCCAGGTCTCCCGCACTGCAGGCGGATTCTTTACCAGCTGAGCTACCAGGGAATCCCAAGAATACTGGAGTGGGTAGCCTATCCTTCTTCAGAAGATCTTGTCAACCCAGGAATCGAACTGCGGTCTTCTGCATTGCAGGCATATTCTTCACCAGCTGAGATACCAGGGAAGCCCCTAGAAGGAGCTATGAAGAGCCAAAATTTGAAACAGAAACTAAAGTTTAGAAGCATGTGAAAATTACCTGTTTTCACCCGTAAGAAATAATAGCACAGACAAGAAAACAGCAAAATTCAACTCATGGTCACACATATGCCATTGATCAGATCATGACTATAATACCTCATTTAACTGGACTTTAAGAGGACTATATGGGAATGTTTCATTTGAAGAACCAAATGGATGGGTGTAATGCTATGTTAAACTCAGAGGATACATCAAGGAAGGACAGGACTTCCCTGGTGGTACAGTGGTTAAGAACCTGCCTGACAATGCAGGGAACATGGTTTCAATCCCTGGTCCAGAATATTCCACATGACGTGTCACAACTAAGCCCATGTGCCACAACTACTGAACCTGTGCCCCAAAACAAGAGAAGCCACTACAGTAAGAAGCCCATGCACCACAGCTAGAGAAAGCCCTTGCACAATAATGAACACCCAGCACAGTCAAAAATAGAAAATAAATAATTTTTCTAAAAAAAGGGAAGACAGAATAGCAAAGAAACAGACAGACTCACTGTGTTCACTGTTAATCACTTGTAATCAACTGATTCAAGCTCTTAAAAGCAATTCTCTGTGAGTTAAATATTATCTCTCTGGGGGAAGGGAATGAAACAATACCATAATCTCAGAACTGGAATCCCAGAAGCTAAGGTGTTGGAGTATTAAAAAAAACTTAAGCAATTCTGAATTTATTTCCTATAAATTATAGCATCTCTCTTTCTATCTTTTAAGTATGTTTCATTCCTCTATGAAATGGGGGCCAAAAGACGGACTCTTTCTTAGAATTAAAGAACTATTTAATAACATACACCCCTCTCATATGTAGTATTAAGTAGCTGCCCATCTAATTTCTGCCCTGAATAAGCTTAATAATAATTTGCTCCAGGAAATGAAAAAATGGTTCAAATCTAGTATAAAACTGCCTCCCTAAGAAACCTTAGGTTACCATTTTCGAGACCCAAATGACCCCCAAATTTATTCTGAACTGCAATCCCTCTCCCATTGCTTTTGGAACTCACTTCCCTTTTTGAAACAGTAAGCTTAAGGCAGGTAGCTCCACCCATTTAAAATGGAGAACAGGAGTTCCCTTGCAGTCCAGTGGTTAAAACCCTGCATTTTGACTGCCAAGGGTCTGGGGTTCAATTCTGGTCTCAGAACTAAGATCCTGAAAGCCTCACAGCTGGATTAAAAAACAAACAAAAACACACAAGCAGACAAAAGTAAGGTAAAAATGGAGACCAAGTGATGGAAAAGAATCCACAGCTGCTAGTATGTATGTGTGTGTAGATTGCTTAGAGGAGACAGCCAAAGGAAAACATCAATATTTTTATTGAGAAAATTAAAAAAGGAAGTTACAGGGCTTCCCTGGTGGTTCAGTGGTAAAGAATCTGCCTACCAATGCAGGAGACACAGGTTCGATCCCTGATCCAGGAAGATCCCACATGCTAAGCCCAAGCGCCACAACTATTGAGCCTGTGCTCTAGAGCCTGGTAGCTGCAGCTACTGAGTCCACACTTGCTATAGAGCCTGTGATCCACAATAAGAGAAACCACAGCAAGGAGAAGCCTGCGTATCACAGCTAGAGAGCAGCCCAGGCAACAACGAAGACACAGCACAGCCAAAAATTAATTAATTAATTAAATTCTACACGCACAAAAAAGGAATTATAGCTGAAATGTGATTTCCTATAGTCTGTCAAAAGAGATGATAATAAGCACAACCAGAATAGTCTAATAATTAATGGCACTATTTCTAATTTTACTCAAGTGCTTTATTTGGCCAGAGTAGTACACACATATACATGAACATATCATTGGGTTTTGTCCAATCACAACATAAAATAAGCCACCCTTCCATCTTTTACAGTTAAAGTGACATTTGAATCTCATGTGATCATGAGCCAATATTTATTTTGCTTGGCTTTTTAGTGGGTTTTTAGTATCTCTAAAAGTTTATTTGGCAGTTGGCAAGTCTCCACAAAGTATATGAGGAAGATGAGACATACTGTTTGGAACAGATAGGTATGATTAAAATAAACACCTGAAATACAACCATAAGATGGGTTCTCATAGCACTCGAACATTAACAACTATCACTTCAAAATTAAAAAAAAAAAAGCAGCAAACAAAAAACTCAGCAGTCACTAGAACAGATTAGGAGAAATGAGTTTATTCATCTTAGGCAAAAGAAATGTCACACAAAAAAATACTTTAAATTTTACTGTATCTGTTATTTAATTACTTACATATGCAAAATACTATTTACGTTCCAATTAAGTACTAAGCTAAGAGCTTTTCATTACTTTCACCTATACATTGAAAATAAACTCCAAAACATATGCTATCAAGGTCAAAAGTTTAAAAATAAGTCTTTATATGAATAACACCTACAATTCAATAATAAGATAGACACCAAATAAAAAGTATGCAAAAAATTTGAACAGATACTCCACCAAAAAAGATATAGAAATGACAAATAAGCCACAAAAAGATGCTATCATTAGTCACTGGGATTCCCTGGTGGCTCAGGCACTAAAGAATCTACCTGCCAATGCAGGAGACTCAGGTTCGATCCCTGGGTCAGGAAGATCCCCTGGAGAAGGAAATGACAACTCACTCCAGTATTCTTGCCTGGGAAATCCTGTGGACAGAGGAGCCTGGCAGGCTACATACCTCCATCCATGGGGTCCACAAAGAGTTGGACATGACTGTGCAACTAAACAACAATCATTAGTCATCAGGGAAAGGCAAATTAAAACCACAATGACATAACTATTATACAACCACAAAATGACCAGTATTAAAAAGATTTATAATACCAGTGGTGAAGATGTGGAGCAGCTGGAATCCTCATACATTGCTGGTGCAAATGCAAGATGGTACAACCACTTTGGAAAAGTTTGCTAGTTGTTCTGTTTTTCCTTTTTAAAAATTATCTATTTGGCTGGGCTAGGTCTTCATTGCTGTGTGGACTTTTCTCCAGTTGCACTCATCAGGAGCTACTCTAGATGCAGTATTCAGGCTTCTCATTGCAGTGACTTCTCGTTGCGGAGCACAGGCTCTAGGGCACTTGGGCTACACTAGTTGTGGCTCCCCAGCTCTAGAGCACAGGTTTAATAGTTGTGGTACACAGGCTTAGTTACTCCTTGGCGTGTAGCTTCTTTTCAGATCAGGAATCAAACCCATGTCTCCTGCATTGACAGGTGTTTTCTTTACCACTGAGCCACCAGCGAAGCCCATTTCCTTTTTTTTTGTTTTTTGGCCATGTCACAGCACCTATGTGGGATCTTAGTTCCCTGACCAGGGGTTGAACCCGTGCTCCTTGAATTGGAAGCATGTAGTCTTAACCACTGAACTGCCAGGGAAGTCCCCTTTTTAAAAAAAGTTAATGTGTACTTACTACACAACCTGGCCTACAATTTCTAATTATTTATCAGAGAGAAATGAAAATATATGTCCCCATAAAGACCTGTACACAAATGTGCAAAGCGTCTTTATTCATAATAGCCACAAAATGGAAATAATACAAATATCTATGGATTAGTGAATGTATACAAAGTGCAGTATATACATACAATGGAATACTACTCTGCAATAAAAAGCAACAAACAGTTCCTATATATGCACAGCATATTGTAAAAGCCTTATGTTACGTGAAAGAAATCAGACACAAAAATTTTATACTTTATGATTCTACTTATATGACTAGAATGATTCTAGAAAGGAATTAAATGGAAAGAAGCATAAGGGACATTTTTGAGGTGATAAAAATACCTTGGTTGTGGTGATGGTTATATGACTGTGAACTTTTTTTTAGTGCAGTTTTAAAAGAAACTTATTTGTTTTTGGCTGTGCTGGGTCTTCACGGCCATGCGGGCTCTCTCTAGTTGCGGAGAGCAGGGTCTATCTCTAGTTGTGGTGCTTAGGCTTCTTGTGGTGGCTTCTCTTGAGAGTATTGGCTCTAGAGTGCTGGCTCCAGTTGTGGTGCACAGGCTTAGCTGGCATGCAGCATATGGGATCTTCCTAGAGCAGGGATTGAACCCGTGTCCCCTGCATTGGCAGGCAGATAATCTTGAACCACCAGGGAAGCCCTAACTATGTACTTTTCTGAAAACTCATATACAGAAAAAACATTACTAAAAAGAAATTGTGACCCTGAATTCTTAATTTAAAATAAAATTATAGCATTAACATTTTCCAGTGTTGCTTTATTAAGAGAATCAGGTTGTGTGCATTTGAGACAACAGTGACAAAAATCAAAGCAGAATTAGCTTTTATGAGACCCAAGGAAAATGCTGGCTCTTAGGATGTACAACACTGATTCAGAGGACTTAAAGGAAACTCCTAACAGGCTACAGCTCTACCGTGACTGGTTCTGAATTACAGGAGCACAAGGCTTAATGTTTTCTGTCTAATGGGAATTCCCTGGCAGGCCAGGGGTCAGGACTCTATGCTCTCACTGCTGAAAACCTGGGTTCAATCCCTAGTCAGGGAACTAAAATCCCGTAAGCCTTGAAGCTTGGCTAGGAAAAAAAAAAGTATGTAGACTGCTCATTATCATTAATAAAACAAGACTTTTCAGTTAGTCCACTCTGAATCAAAATATTAGGGCAACTATGTCTGAGAATATCACACATCAGAGGCACTAAACTCTACCTCATTAAGGAACCCTTGACTTCAAGGTTTGGAGTGATGAAATCCCAAATGATAAGACAGTTGGACTAAAGATGTTGGGAGAGAGTTCAATATACAGTCTGGTCAAATTAAAAACAAGCAAAACTAGGCATTTTCTGGAATGGAGGTATTCTCTAAAAGCAATTTTTCCTCTTAAAACCCTCTCCCTCAATCCTAATATAATTCTCTTCACCCTCTCTACATATTTTCATTTTTAAATTTGTTCTTTTATCTTTCAGATCCCATATATAAAATAAAACATACAGTATTCATCTTTTACTGTCCAATTATTTCAAGAAGTATAATATCCTCCAGGTCTATCCATGTTGTTGTTATGTTGCAAAATTTTTTGTGCGTGTCACATTTTTATTCATTCATCTGTTGATGGGCACTTAGGTTGTTTCTGTATCTTGGCTATTGTAAATAATGCTGCTTTGAATATTGGGGTGCATGTATCTTTTTGAATTACTGTTTTCATTTTCTTCAGCTAAATACCCAGAAGTGGACTTGATGGATTCTATGGCAGTTTTTAAAAATTTTTAAGGAATCTCCACTGTTTTCCATAGTGGCTGTACCAATTCACATTCCCACCAACAGTGCAGCAAGGTTCCATTTTCTTCACATCCTCAACAGCATTTGTTATCTCTTGTCTTTTTTAGTAACAGCCATTTCAACAGGTGTGAAGTGATATCTTATTGTGGTTTTCATTTGCATTTCCCTGTTGATTAGTGATGATGAGTAGGCTTTTCATAAGCCTGTTGGTGATCAGTATGTCTTTTTTGGAAAAATACCTATTCAGACCTCCTGCCTTTTTTTTTTTTTCTTTTTTCTCTGCAGTTTAACTGTCTGATGTAGAAATGTAAAGTGTTTGTCAGTTCAGTTCAGTCACTCAGTCATGTTCGATTCTTTGCGACCCCACGGACTGCAGCACCCCAGGCTTCCCTATCCATCACCAACTCCCGGAGCTTGCTCAAACTCTTGTCCATTGAGTCGGTAACACCATCCAACCATCTCGTCCTCTGTCATCCCCTTCTCCTCCTGCCTTCAATCTTTCCCAGCATCAGGGTCTATTCCAATGAGTCAGCTCTTCGCATCAGACGGCCAAAGTGGCTAAAACACTTGCCTCAAATCTTTTTCAGCAAGTAGCTAATTAACAAAGCATAAACTTAAAATATATATATATATATATATATATTTATTTATTTACTTGGCTCTGCCAGGTCTTAGCTGCAGCATACAGGATCTTTAGTTACAGCAGGTAGAATCTAGTTCGGCCCTGGCACTGGGAGTGCAGTCTTAGCCACTGGACCACCAGGCAAGTCCAACAATGTATACATTGTTTTAAAAGTTTTTAAACTTGAATATACACATGAAAAAGATAAATTTAGTGAAATAAACTGTTACTTGTTTCACCTAAGGCACAAACCAAGGGTGGGAACTGTTACCTAGAGAACTGAGAAGGCCAGATTTCAGAACTCAAGAATTCAAAAGATAAATATAATATTTTAAATAGCTTTTTAAAGACATGCTAATTCAAAGGCAAGTATAAGAGAAACAAGTCTAACTACATTTTCTACCCTTTTCCTTCCTCACAAAAGTCTTCTTGGGCATAAAATTTCATTTTTAACCCTAGGCTCCTTCTTCTAGTGCTGTTTCAAAGAGAACTAAAGTAACAGCACTTCCACTTCAGAAAGTTTTAAAACTACCTTGGCATCCAGTTCCATGACTGGGCTATGAGTACTCTGCCAGTTCTTCCACTAACTGAATCCAGATTTCCCAACTTTCAGTCCCAGGGATCTTCCCACTATTTCTTTATTCCACAAACATGTATTGAGGGGACTTCCCTGGAGGTCCAGTGGTTAGGAATTCATCTTCCAGGAAAGGGGGTGCAGGTTCATTCCTGGTAAGGGAACTAAGATCCCACATGCTGGCAGGAGTGGAGGCAACGAAAGAGTGCTGCAGCTAAGATGTGACACAGCCAGAAATAAATAGATAACTAATTTTTAAAAAGATGTATTGCTCACCTACTGTGTGCCTGGCACTGTTTCAGCATTCAAAGTGCATCAGTGAATAAAACAAGCCAACATTTCTCCCCTGGGAGAATTAATTCCCGCTGTCTGTAATACACACTCTCAGCATGACAATAATAGTATTATTACATCTTTATAGATGATCTTTGCCTCTACTATAAATGTGTGCACGGATGTGTGTGTTTAAAGTACTTTATCTCCTCATACACACTTTCTTCTACGCAATTAAGTAATCTTCTTTTATCAATGCCACACATTCCAGCTCTGGGGATTCCAAGACTTAAAATAGACAAGCTCTCACAGAAACCTCTGATAAAGTTAGCACCTTCTAACACTGGAAACTTCCTTTAAGTTTCTTAACTTAAGTTTCTTAAATCCGGTGGGGGATTTTTCTCTTCACAGGCATCATGGCAGCAAAAGCGGAAGAGACTCACATTTGTGGCCATCTTCACACGCACCCATTACTACCTCGGCTCTTAGCCCCCATCCTCATCCCTCTAGCTCTGGACTATCGCGATACCTAGGCGACTCCAGCTATAATCCCGTATTTCACCTATGAAAAGCCCACTCTCAATATTTCCACCGGCGGCACGAACACTCTTCCACATCCTTTCCCCTCCCCGCCCCCGAAACAATTTCTCAGTAGTAACTTTTTACCGAAATAAGTTTGCCCCACATTTCCTAACAGGCACGTCCCAAATACACCACCTTGTCTTTGCTTCAAGGCTCTTTCCCTTACATTACTTGATCCCCAAGAGAATTCTGGGGTGGGCAGGGATTGGCGCGAGACCAAATTTGGAGAGAAGCCTCTTACTCAGGGCCAGGACTTGGGGGAGGCGAGAGGGGCCCCGAGCGCGAGACCCAGAGGCACGCGGCACCGCCTGAACCCCGAGAACGAGCGCCCCTTTCCATTCGGCGCCTTAGGACCCTCACTTGCCTCACCCCGTTTTTACTGCCATCGCTTCCTCAACACCCCCCAAAGTCATCGAAAGCTGACCCCCGCGTCTGGTCCTCCTCAAGCCCCCAGCAGTCCTCCTCGCTACGGTCCCCCGCAGGTGCCACCGCCCACCTCGCCCTCCAGGCGCGGGGGTCCCGCCCACCTGGCCCACCCCGCCCTCCAACGGGATTTCGCGTTCCCTGGCCCGCCCCCGCCGCTCCTCCTCCTGGACACGCCGCCCTCCCCGCCGCAGACGCGGTCTTCGCCTGGGGCTCGCTCGGCCAGCTGTCCTCTTTCCCCCAGCCCTCGGAACGGGGAGTGGACGCCCCGCTAACCCCAGGCAGGCAGTTGGTGTGTCCCTCCGCTTCCCCCTAGTTCTCTGACCCCTTCGACTCTCCCTCCCTCAGGCTCCCCGGGGGCGAGGTGCGGAGGCCCGGCCCCACCGACGGGCCGGGGCTTGTTTACTCACTCACCCTCCATCCCGAGCCGCAGGGACCCACCGCTAGCACGCCTGCGCGCCGCGGCCCCGCCCCCGCGCCGGGGCCCCGCCCCGCGCCTCGTCCGGGCGCGTGCGCACTGCGCCGCCCGCGCCCCGCTGGTCAGGCTTCCTGGGCTTCCTTCTTCGCAGGTCTGTGGTTTGGCGCCAGTACCCCAAACTCAGGAGTCCGAGGTGGTGCAACCGAGTCCGAAGATTTCCCAGGCGGCGCTGTCAGGGGACAGGAAGGGCTCTTGAGAAACTTCCTGAAGCCATTATTATCCTCTTGAAGACCCAACCAGCGTTGCATCATCCCCACACACTGGTGACATTCCACTTCTCACTTCAGCATTTGACACCAACCTGCAACCCCTTCATACAGATCTTTGACAGATATTTGATCTACAGATATCCCCAAACACCCGTCTAGGTCTCTAAGTTATCATTCTTGCTTTATTTACGCCGGGCTTCCCTAATTTGTTAATAGTTTTCCCAGTTACTTAGATTCAAATCAGTTGCCTTGAGTCAAAGTATCCTCTCACAAGATACTTATAAATTACACAAGGAAAAAGAGTAACTTTACAGGGGAGAAATCTAGCAGACATCACCTTAACCAAATGATCAAAGTTAATATCACTAGTGCTGAGATTTTTTTACTAAGTACCTCTCAATATAATTCAATGAGGACACAAAATCAATTCCATAGTAGTCTTGAAAAAATGCATAAGCTGAATTAATGAGGAGGAAGCATCAGACAAATCCAAAATAAGGGGTAAATCTGCACAATAACTGTCCAGTATCTTCAAAAATATCAAGATTGGGACTTCCCTGGTGGTCCAGTGGTTGACTCTGTGCTTCACCTGGAGGGGGTTGAGGGTGCAGGGCCAAAAAAAAGACAAACAGTGAGGAACTGTCCAGATTGGAGGAGACTGAGGAGACATGACAAGTAAATGTAACGTGTGATCCTGGATTGGATGTTGGTCCAAAAAAGGCACACCAGTGGGATAATTGATGAAATTAGAATAAGATCTGTAGATTAGTTAATAGTATTTTGTCAATCTGAATTCCTGGTTTGGGCAATCACACTTCGTCAACAATTGAGGAAGTTGGCTCAAGGGCGTACAGGAAACTCTACCACTTGTAACTCTTCTGTAAATCTGAAATTATTTCAAAATATAAAGTTAAAACTTAAAATACAAATTAACATCACCTTAAATTTGTCTCCACAGACTTTTTTTTCTTTTGGCTGTGTAATGCAACTGTGGGATTTGGGATCTTAGTTCTCCCCGCCAGGGATCAGTTAACCCAAGACCCCTGCTGTGGAAGTGTGGATTCCTAACCACTAGACCACCAGGGAATTCCTGCTACATACATAATTTAAGCCGATAATAATTTTTTTCCAAATAATCATAACAACTCTGTGAAGCAGGTAGGGAGGATTTTAGTTTCCCACACAAAGCTATTCTGGCATAAAGGAGTTAAAAGATTGTCTTGATGAAAAATTACCTTATCAGGTCTCTGGATTTCAGATTTAGTATTTTTTTTCCTCATATCAGAAATTTTTCTTTTTTTCTCTTACCTACACCCAATTCCGGAGAAGGCAATGGTAGCCCACTCCAGTACTGTTGCATAGAAAATCCCATGGACGGAGGAGCCTGGTAGGCTACAGTCCATGGGGTTGCGAAGAGTCGGACATGGTTGAGTGACTTCACTTTCACGTTTCACTTTTATGCATTGGAGAAGGAAATGGCAACCCACTCCAGTGTTCTTGCCTGGAGAATCCCAAGGATGGGGTCACACAGAGTGGGACACGACTGAAGTGACTTAGCAGCAGCAGCAACACCCAATTCACCACCAAATCAAAGTAAATAGTCCTTCACACTTGGCAGTTTGCCATGATGTTCCTTTCCATTCCAAATGCCTTTTTTAGATCAGTGGTTCTCAAGCTTGGTTCACATTGAAGTCACCTGGACAGCTTTAATAACTACTGATTTCCTCCTTCCACCTACAGAGAGCCTGATTCATTGGTCTGGGGTTTGGCTTGGGCTTCAAGAAGTCTAAGAGCACCCCAAGTGATTCCACTATGTAACAAGTTTAAGAACCATGGCACCAGTGGTCCCCAAGCCTTTTGGCACCAGGGACCAGTTTTGTGAGTTTTTTTCACGGATAGGGGAGGGGGCAGTTTCAGGATGATTCAAGCACATTACATTTATTGTGCTCTTTATTTCTAACCTGATGCTGCCACTGATCTGATAGGAGGTACCAGTGCGTGGCCTGGAGGTTGGGGACCCCTGTGTTACACTACATAAATACTTGTTGAAATAAAGAATATGGTTTAAAAAAAGGCTGGGGCTGGGGTGGGGGTGGGGGAGTGGGCAGGTGGCAGGTCAAAAAAAAAAAAAAAAAAGAATGTGAGTTACCTAAGGGAAGATGTTCAGAAGGTCTGAACATCAGGACTGAGACTGGAGGGCAATTTGGGAACCATCAACTCTGTTGGTAACTAACACCATGGGAGTGACCCATGTTGTTTTAGGGAAGTATGAAGTATGCCAAGTAACAAGAGGAGAACGAATGTCTTTGTTCTGCATAACAAAGACAATATATTTACAAAAATATTTTGATGTGGAAAGGAAGGAAGGTGAAGGGATTTATGTCAAAGTTATAGATGAGAGTGTACAATCCATCTCAAACTCCACCTCCTCATTAACCCTCCCATCCCCCAAGACCTCCCCCAGCTTCAACACCGTTACCACTTTACACTAACTACCAGGCTGTCTACCTCTTTCCTATCCATCACAACATTTGGCATAGGACTAAACCCAGGGTTTAATAATCCTTGTTCACTAGAAGATTATAAAAACAACTTTCCACATCACCAATAATTGTGGGGTTCTTGGGGAAAATTTGTCTGCCAATTGGTTCCTCTCTCCCTCTCTGAAGGGAGAGAGTTTTTCCTGAGACCAGGCTCTTTCTTAACTGACCATGGTCCATGAGATACTATAAGCCAATTTTTTGTTTGGCTAGATCTTCCTCTTTTTCTTTTCCAACCCTTCAGGTCTTTGTCCTATAAATTCGTAGAAAAACTGTTGGCAAGTGGTCAGCTACTGGACCTTTGAAAAACAGTACCATCACCCCTGCCCCACTCCTCCCGGCCCCTCCCCCAGGCAGTTAATAGGAATAACTGTGTCACTCCTGGCTTCCAGTTGCTCATCTTGCTCTTAAATCGCAGGCCTCTGGGGCTAAAAGAAACTGGACAAAGTGTGCTGAGTAGCCTAATGGGGTTGGTTCTTTTTCCGAAAGTTCTCTATTGCGGAAAAATAAAATTATGTGTTTAATTTCTGAAACCTGAGGCCTGATTTGCCTTGGCAGCCCTTCTCCCAGGCTTGGCCGAGAGTCCAGCAACACTAGCACACTGATTAATACCAGCTCAACTTGCTCCCTGGAGAAGAAGAGCATTATTTACTTGACCATTTTCTTTTTTTTTTTACCATCTTCTTAAATCCTTTTTAATTTGCATGTATGTTAGCATGATCTCCTTGGCTTTAACATGCTGTATCTCTGACCACTGGCCCCAAAGAAGCCTCAGGGAAGTCCCTTCAGTATCCCCATCCCCAAGCAAGATTTTGTTCCACTCAGTGGTTAGAATTGACATTTCTGTCACATGTTCTAAGTGTACTTTTGTCCCCCGCTGGTCTTCAGGCCACTGCTAGAAAGGGAGGGAGCCGATGCTTCCCAGAGTTCAAACAAAATTCTGCGCTATTCCTTTCTCTCTTCCAACTTTTCTCCCTTCCTCCTCCCTTCCAGCCCCCTTTGGACGCTGACCCCTCTGCTCATTCAGCCCCTCCCTTGTAAAGCCCACGGGGCTATCAAATAGCGTTTCTCCAAGGGGACACAGGAGTGCAGAAAGGCTGAGCCCCAGACAGTCCCTGACAAGGGAAGTGTAAACACAGCTGTGGAGATGGGAGCAGACCCTCCTCTCTCCTCCCCCATTTCCCACCCAGAAGCAGGGGAAGGCCACCCTGCCGTGGAGAAACAAACAAGCAAACAAAACACAGCACAAGCCCAGAGCCTGCACGAAGGTCACCAGAAACTGGGGCTGCTGCCCAGGCCTTGGTGGGGCCAGCTGAATTGCCAGACCCCTCCCTGAACACTCAGAGTCAGAGGCAAAGGCGACTCCAAAGCAAGTTGAGGTCTGGACATCCCTGAGCCCGGAAACATAGCTCAAGTTTTGAAGCTTCTCCACTCCCAGACATTTTCTCCTCTGATCTCAAAAACCCAGCTTTCCGCCTCAGGTACTTAGCCCCTGACCCCTAGTTGCTTCGGGATCATAATAATGCATTCAATTCAGCAAGTAAGAACAGGCCCACAATAAACCCTTGTCCGTGGCTCTTAAAAAGTTTAAATTCTGAACCTCCAAGCCAAAATATTAGAAAAGGGCCTCCTTAGCTTTTGTTAATTACAAGATAAACAATTCTAGCAGGAAGGGGAATTACTTTGGGGGATTACTTGGGTGGGATTCAGGCCTTGCTTTGCACATACTCTGAAAGCTCCAAGCCCATGGCTAGGGTGGTGCTGCCCGCTGTCACTCTCTCAGCACAGTTAATGCAGGGCCTGGATCCCACGGGACACGCCTTTGGCACGGCCCTGTCTGGGAAATGGCCCCAGTCGGGTGGACAGCTAATGAGCTGTGCTTCCTTCCTGGCTATCAGGGTCCTTGACTGTATAATTGCAGAAACAGAAAATGATCACAGCCTTCACACACTGACCATTCACTGTGTGCCTGGCATTGTGCTAAGTTTTTTATAATGGGTCATCTCATTCCATAGGAAGTCAGCAATATTCTTATGCTCATTTTACAACCAAAGAAACCAGGGCTTACAGAGATTGTGGAACTTGCCCAAGATCAGCCAGCTGGTAAATGGAGAGGCCAGGATCTGGGCCTCATCATTCTGACTTCCAATCTATTCTCGAAACCCTTCCATTCTCCCTCCTCTTGTCTCTAAGGTCTTCTAGCTCTGAATCACAGGTCTGGATTGTCTCCATGGTTTTCTCCTT